GTGTGTATAATGTTTAATGTTGTTTTATGTTATATGAAAACCTAAAAGATTTTGCAAATCATTAAAGATTATTTAATGAAATTTTTTTCTACTTTTGGCCACACAAAAAAAACACCTTTGCACCTCATATAGCACCAACAAAAGTTTTAAGTTTCTAAATTTCTGATAGGTAGTAAAAAAATTTTTATACTTGATAAGTATATGTGTTTGATTTGTAATATTAGAGCCCAATCGGAAGTGGCGGAAATCGAATGCAAGCTAGACCAGAAGGTAATAATCCAAATCTTACAGATAACTGGGATGATGCTGAAGGATATTACAGTAAGTATTTTAGCAAGGAAGTTTTTGGCTATCTATAATATTAATGCAAAACTTGTGTTTTTTATTATTTTAAATTATTTTAACACATAAATTGGCTTTAAAAAATGATTTATTTTTAAATAATATCTTTAAAGTTTATAATTTAAAATGTAATGTTAAATATGACTAAAAATAATGTCTTTACAAAAAATAACTTGTTCAACAGTATTTATTTAAATCCATTACACTGCTAGTTGTAAAGTTATTCAAATGCCTCATTAAATTATTTTTAAAAGCTGAGAACCATTAATCATTTGCTGAAGAGTTAAAATTATCTTATAAATCAGTTTTGAAATTAACTAAAGCGTGTACACGAAATTTATGTGAAAGAGTAAGTACTTCATTTTTTCAGTGGTTATATTAAAATCTTTTTAATTGTTTTGTATTTTGTTTACAACGAGTTGTGGTTTCAAAAAAATATATTAGTTTTTTTATTTAACTTAAAATTAGTTTTAAAAATGACAAAAGAAGACATAAGAGAAAAAATTATGCACAAATGTTTGGAAAATCCCAATAGTAGCTACAATTCGATAGCAAAAGTTAATTTTTAGCCTCAAGGCAAGTCCAAGGACAAATAAGTCCGATTTAAGAAAGCCATGTACAAGTATATTTGACTTAAAAGCTAAATTTATAGAAAAATATAAAAAAATAAGTCTGTAATAAATAAGTCCATAGATACAGGCCTGTACCAAGGGCGCAATGCCCAAGGCGCCAAATTTGGGAGGTTGCAAATTCCCAAAAATTAAATTAAATTAGAAAAATTAAAAAAAATAAAAAAAAAATAATATCATTTGGAAACAAATTTTTATGGGATCTCTTTGAAGTTGATAAAAAAATTAATTAAAATTGTGCCTCTTTACATAAACTCCAACTTATAAAAGCTCATTTACTAAACAGATCTGTTTAGTAAATGAGTTTTTATAAGTTGAAGTTTATGTATGTATTACGTATGTATGTATTTATTTATTTAATATGTATTTATTATGTTATTATGTATGTATATATTTATAAGTTGGAGTTTATGAAAGTTTATGTTTTATAAGTTGGAGTTTATGTTAAAGGGTGCTCTTCTGCAGCAGAAGAGTACTCTTTAGCTCTAAAATAGTTTATATATTTTTAAAATTATCTTCTTTTTATTCAGAACATTCAATATTAATTTGATTTATATTTGTTATATTTTGAGCCTATATGGACACTGTCCATATAGTCTATAGTCGATTTTGTAAAATGATTTAAAGTCATTACTTAAAAAGTGATGAGAAACTACAAAATTTTTCAAGAAGTTGTTGGTAACTTACTCTGCAGAGGAATAACAAATTATTTCAGAGGATATTAGTATTGAATGTAATGAAAGTTCAACAGTAAAGTTCAAATTAACGACTTAAGCTCAGATCATAATTAGGAATTAATTGAAAAGATTTTCATTAGCCAAAGTCAAGAAGAATTTTGCACAAATAATTCAAAAACAACAAAAGAGTATGGAAATTCCCAGCTTTCTGACCGGGCTGAAATGGATCACAATGAACTTCATTCAGAAATATCAGATGTTTCGCCAACGTTAGGAAAAAACTTTCATCACAGGGATCCAGCAACATAGCCTAAACTAACAAACAACATAAGATGCTTTTTGATTCAACATGGGCCAGAGCAAGAAAGAAGACAATTTTTCCCATACACGCTGTGTGATTTTGACAACAGAAAGCGACACTTCAGCACAAAATAGTATGAAAAAATTCATCCTAATGGTGAAAAATTTGTTTGCCATTGGTTGCTGTACAGCACTAAAAAAGATTCATTGTTTTTGCTGTTATTTTCAACATCAAAAACCAACAATTTCTCAGAAATTTCAAAAGGATTTTGTGACTAAAAAAAATTAAACCAAGAGTTCCTGAACATGAAAACAGCAATGAAGACCAAAGATGCTATTCTGATGGGAAAACTCTCAAAAAAAACCTCGAAGAAGGAAAGATCATGGATTCTGATCTACAGAGAGTTATCAATGGAGAAATGAAAAAGTGGAGAGACATCTTGAAAGTGATTGTTGATGTAATTTTGTTCTGTGCCAGAAACAATCTTGCCCTTCGAGGAACAACAGAAGTCATCAGTCAACAAAACAGCGGGATTTTTCTAAACTTGATTGAGCTAATAAGCAATTATTATCCTTTAGTGGAGCCATCTTAAACTTTTTTTCAAGTTCTACATTAAGATGGGAAGTACTAATGAAAACATCGACCATCTCATTAAAGAAAAAACAGTGACACAAGTTTGTCTCCCAAAAAAGAAGCAATCACTCCATTGCACAAATAAATAAAAGAAGATCTTCTAGTATTGAAATCTATTATCCACAATCCCATGAGAAATAATGTCACAATATGCAGTGCAAAAAATTTTATCATTCAAATTAATTTATTTTTTTTTAAACATCTTCGATTCCAACAAAGCTGCAAGCAAAGACTGATTAGAGTTAGAAGTTACTGGAGGAGAAAAGATTAAGATTGTAGAGCAAGATAACGATTGACAGATGACTTAAAAGATTGCAAATTATATGAATCAGGAAAGCAAGATAAAGGAACCAAATTCCAAAGAACTGATGTTCGAGGAAAAAACTAGATAAATAAGAGTTTTTGGTGCACTTAGAAACAGTCATAGAAAAAGGATGAGACTATTAAATGACGAGTAACACGAGAATGAATTTTAGTAGATGGCACAAGAGGCGCTAGCTCTTTAGAGCAGTGCCCATATAGTATTTATAGAAAAGAGAAAGAGAAGCAACATTACGACGATCTGATAATGGTTGGATTTTTCAAATTTTTTCAGCCAATCGATAAGGATTGGCTGAAAAAATTGAGTTTCATCTGAATTAAAGTTCACCAGCCACTGTGAGCCCCATGCTGTAGCAGAAGTGAGATCCTTTTCAAGCTCAAATGCCCTCCCCCCCCCCAAGCAATCAGAGAGTTTTCGCTTCTTATCATAACAAGAATAAATGACAGTATCATCAGTGAACAATGCTACCTTAGATGTGAGAATATCAGGAAGATCGTTAATGTATATTAAAAAGAGTATAGGGCCAAGGATTGAACCTTGAGGAACCCCTGAGATTACAGAATAAGAATAAGAGTGCTGTCCATCGAAACATATTTTATACTACAGTTGGAAAGGAAAGATTCAATAATCTTAAAGATGTTGCCTGATACACCATAAGAAGAAAGCTTATGGAGAAGACCAGCATGCCAAACTTTATTAAAAGCTTTAGAAATGTCAAGAGCGGTGTCCTAAACCTCTCCACCTTTATCTAATCCACGATAAAACCTATCGGTTATTACTGTTAGCAAATTAGCTGTAAAACTAAAATATCGAAATCTGTATTGATGATCAGAAAGTAAGTTATTAGATTCAAGATGAAAGATTAAGTGTTTGTTAATTAAAGATTCAAAAACCTTGCTCATGATTGAAAGAAGACTAATGGGACAGTAGTTAAATGAATCAGATTGCTCTCCAGAATTTTTCAAAATAGAGATAACATGCTGCTTTCCATCAGGCTGGAAAACAAGACTCTAATAAGCACTTGTTGAATAGTTTTGGAAGTATAGACAACAGCTCTGGAAAACACCACTTAAAGGCTATAACAGGTCTGTTGTCCGGGCCACAAGCTGTAGAAGAGTCTAAGCAGGAAATCACTTTAGATACAGAAGCTGGGGTGATACAAATGTCAAGCAATAGATCAACTTGTTTGACGGCCATATCAGATAGAACGCAACTAGTGGAATCAAGAGATGCTATTGATGAAAAGTTCTTAGCAAACAATTCAGCTTTGTCTTTTAGGTGACAAATTCTGAACCATACAAGAGAGGTGGAATTAAAGATTTGCCCTTATTATTGATACTATTAAAGATTCTCCAGAAGTCACGAGAGTCTAGGTTTTGTGATAAAATATGAGATTTCATGACCTGAGAATAGTGGGCTTTGGTGTTAGACAAAACCTTTTTACAATGGTTCCTAGCAATTATAAACAGACACCTGTTTTCTGGAGAATTGTTTTACTGATAGATATGGAAGTAACAAAATCAATTGACAATTGCAGCAGCACAATGTGAGGAAAACATTAATTTGATCAGAGATAACATCAAAAAGAAAACAGTCTTGAGATGAATGAGAGCAATATAGAACAATGAAAAAGGCGATAGAGTGAAGTGGTGCTAAACGAAAGCACATATAAGAATAGTCTGTGGATTCAAACCTAGTTTCCTGAAAAATGGATGAATTCTTACAAATGTAAATGCCCAGGCCAAGCATGTGACTATTGGAGTCTTTATGAGTTAAAGGAAAATAACCATCAACACTGAAATCGCAAGATGAGACAGCTGAACTCAAATTAGTCTCACAAAGAGCAATTAGGTCTGATGAACTTTGCAAGAGATAAGACTCAGCAGAAGAAAAGTTACTTCAAAGACCACAAATATTAGTGAATGGTAGGTTTAAAAAACTTGGTGATGACCTGAGTTTTAGAGCTGTACCCTCATTAAGAGATAATAGAATGAGTTGCCTAGTCATAAAAACAGAGACATGCTAAACAAGCTAAACCCATGCATTGAGTCATGAAGATCCCGCATTCAACATCCTAAACTGAAAACAATGTATTAAAAATACATCTGCACCAGCCTAATTGATTGAGAAGGGGTGCGAGGCTGGTCAACAGATAGAATTTTTTTACCCCTTAAGTCTTTGCCTAGGAGACCTTCTACAAGACAGTATTTAACATCTGCCTAAAATGAGTATTTTTATCGAGGCATCATCTTTAGCCTTTACTCAACCAAGAGCCCCAAGGCAGGGGGTGTTTTGAGTTGGAGTTGGCATCTCCTAGCCTTTACCTAAAAAAGCGTATCCTACAAGAGAGCAGGACATGAAACAGATTGTACTGGGTTACATGTTACCAGTAGCTGGATAACCTGACCTGACATTATCAATAATAAATATTGTTTTGAAATATGAATTTATGCATATTTTTTTAAATAAATTTTAGGCAGATAAAATAGAATTAAGTTCATTTTTAAATTTCAGTTTTTTGTGTTTTATGGATTTTTGGTGTCAAATTCTTTCATTAAGGTGGTACACCCCCATTCTAAAAAGTTTCTTTAAAATAATCTATTCAAAATTAAAACTACAATACACAAGTTTAAAAAAGTATGCTGATTATTTTTTTTTTAATGAAATCTCGATTGCCCAACTTTTGCCTCATTTATTCCATAAAAATTGTCAAAATGTGGGTGTAATTTAAAACAAGATATCTCCAGTTCTATATATCTTTTCACTCTGAAATTTTCACATTATGTTCCTAAAAGGTACGAAGAGGTTATGAACCAAAATCATGCATTAAAGATGCATAGAACATTTTAAATGTAATTTTCTATAAATTAAAGAAAATTTTTTAACAAAAAAACAAAGAAAAAAAGATTTTAAACATACTTATACATGATATTTGTAATTTTGGTTCATTACCTAAAGTCAATTTATAACAAAAGCACCCTGAAAATTTCAAGTCAGCATATGGTCCCAAACTGAAAATATTGCGTTTTAAAATTTAGGTATTTGGTAAAAATGACATTTTGAGAAAAACACAAAAAACAAAATAAAAGTTTGTTATATTAGGAAAAGAAGCACATGCTCAGTTAAAAATCTCCACTGTTATATTGGGGGTCCTTTTCCAGTTCTTTTTCAATATCTATGTAATCTTTTTTGATGACTCTAAGCTTTTTTCTCCTCAATTTACCTTTAGCACTTGATTTGTGATTCATTTTTTTAATTCGGATGAGGTCCAATTTACGAAGTCCGTCTTGCATAAACATACTTGATTCAATACCTTCAGCACTAATTACTTTTTCAACTGCTGTGCTTCCATCATTAGTTGCTATAATAGCTGAGTTACTTATACTTATCTCAAGAACCTTTTTCCCAATAAAAAAATCTTTAGGACATCTTTTCCATATTAAGGCATTCAGACTTTCATTGTTATTTTAAGTTTGTCCGTGCAAACATTTTGATAACAATGTTTTATTTGTCAAATCTGTAAATATAGGCATAAGTACTGCTTTAATTGCTAATGGTAAGCTTAATTTAGTTTTGTATGTTGTTTCACCAGTTACTTTATTACTTTGCCACAAACACCAACTAGTTCTAGTTCGTGGGCAAAATTTGTGTCTCTCTGACTCTTCACTTATGTCACTGTTGTGAAATAAAACAGCCCAAGCAGCAGAAACAGCACCAGAAGCTTGCATGGATCCTGATGATTTATTGTGATTAGCTTCACAAACATGATTTATTTTCCAGTTTTGATAACCTAGTAGTGACTTTTTTTTGTTCCAATAACTACAAGCTTTGCAGAACTTAGTTAACAAAATTGAATCAAGACATTTTCCAATCTCTCTTGATATTGCAGTGACAATACCATTTAAAGGTTGATGGCCTCTTTTTTGCCAGGTACCATCAACAGAAACTTGGCAAGCAGAAACATCATTAACATTGCTAGAATTAGAAATAATATCTTTGGTTTCATTGGCAGCACTTGACATACTTGCAGAAGCAACTTCATTATAAATATTTAACAAGTTGTTATTAATTGCACTATAATTTTTAAAATTCATAGGAGATGGCATGTTCATTACTGTAGCAAATTTGAATATAGATTGATAACCTTTACCAATTTCACGAAAAGCAGTAACAACTTGAAAATTAACTGATACAGTAGGAACACCAGGAGTACTTTTAGATTTTTTAGTTAAAAACTGAGACGTGTGCCATCCTTTGCTAAATGGGCAACAAAGGCAATGTAAAGTTAAATAAAAACAAAAACCTTTTTTGCTTTTTAAGTCATTTTCAAACAAACTTCATTTCCACATTTAGGGCATTTAAACTCACTAACCATTAGTTTTAAAATATTAAAGTTTATAATGATATTGTAATTTTTTTGACTTCCAGATATTTCAGTGTTTACTAGTTTTCTGGAGCTTGCTGATAAACTTGGATCAGAAATTGATGAATCAAGCTGAATAAACTTTGAAGATTTTAGGTGTTGATTACAAGAAAACTTTCTTTTTTTAGATCGAGCAATAGAACGTCCCATATCTTATTTAGCTATTTATCTATAAGAACATTAACAAACTAAAACAGCATGCAAGCACAATATTTTGATACATGATCGCATTAGAAGTTCAAGTTATAGCTTTTAAAATAAACATGAAGCAAAAAACAAACAAGAAGCTGCAGTAGAAAAGAGTTTTTGATGTTAATAAGCTTGAGCAAGTTTAAATTTTTTTGTTTTAAAATGCGTTGCTATGGCGTTGCTACGGACTTCTCAACCTACTATGGCCACAAAACACATAATTGTACACACTTCCTTATTTATTTTTTCAAAAAAATAATTAATAATATTATTCTAGAAAAAATTTTGAATTTAAAAAACCAGTTTTCAAAAAGTTGATTTTTTCTAAAAAATTTCGAAATTAATGGGGATGTACCACCTTAATTGACCGGCAAAACAAATTGTTTCACTATAAAATAGTTTTAATTGAGATCGCAGCAAAAATAATGAAAGAATTGAAGGCTTCCATTCAGAATTTGAGAGATATTGCTGTGGACAAAATCATCAAAGATGTCGCAGAAACATCCAAACAGAATGGAATTAAAGTGATTTTCCATCCAAGTGGAAGCACAAAGTGTGAAGAAGATGGTACTTTATGAAGCTGAAGAAAACTTTCACCTCCTCACAGCAGAAACAGAATTAGGATCACAGTGCAATCTTGTGTTTGACAGCATTATTACACAAATTGAATGGTGGGTTGAGTCTATGTCTGCTATATCCTCTGATTTTGACTTCCTCTGTGGGCGTTCACTATCTAAAAGTTCAGTGAATGAACTTAAGACGAAAGCCAAAAACTTATCTCAGATTTACATGACAGATTTAGATTCTTTTGATTTTCAGTCAGAAATGGCAAGTTTTAAATATCAAGCTGCTGCAATGGTGGACAACTTTGAAAAATCTAGCCCAATTGACATTTTGTAGCTCATTTATAAATATTTATTGACCAATGCATATCCTAACATGGCAATTGCTATTCGCATTTTTCTCACCATACCAGTCATAGTTGCTATGTGTGAAAGAAGTTTCAGTTAACTTAGGCTTATAAAAAACTACATGAAATCAACTATGGGCCAATAACGTTTGTCTAGTCTTTCTATAGTTTCACTTGAACATAAAGTGGTCGACAACATTGATTTTGATGATATCGTTAGTGAATTTGCATCCAAAAAAACTAGAAAAGTGAACCTGAACTGAAGTTTGTGCAGTATTTATGACAAATTGCATAGATATGCATAGATATAACGCAAATACATTTTTGTAACTGTAAACAACATATTTGATTTTAATGGTTTTTAAAAAGCATAAAAACCTTAAAGGAATCTTCTAATTAATAAATTAGAAATTGTCTTATAATTTTTTGTTTTTATATTTTTGTTTTATTTGTATATTTTAGTTTTGTGCCATTTAAAGGTTTACTGCTTCAGAATTTTCACCATGCAATTAATTATTACGTTTTATTTTTAGAAACTCGTATTGGAGAGATTTTAGATAAGCGTTACAGTGTGTATGGATATACAGGGCAAGGTGTATTTAGCAATGTAGTCCGCGCACGTGATTCTATGAAAAATAATCAAGAAGTTGCAATCAAGATTATTAGGAGTAATGAAGTGATGTAATTAATTTTAATATTTTATTTTTATTTTTTAATCTCTTTCATCTTTAAGTGTTTTTCAATGTTTTAAATTCATGTATTATGCATTAAGTATGCAATTAATTATTTAAGCATTCATATTTAATGAGAAATGTTTTTAATAATTTATTTCTTTACATTTTTTTAATAATTTATTTCTTTACATTTTTAGCATTATTTCTGACATTTCAACAAAATAAATTATTAAAATTTTAGCAATACTATTACAGGCCTTGTTTTAAAGTGTAAACTGGCGTGCCATTTACTTACGCCATAAGCCATTTTACATAAGCCGTAAGCAATTTTTAATTTATCATCTTGCAAGAGCAAGAATATTTATATAAGCAACAATAACAAAAATAATTACCAAATTTTAAAAAAATTAAAAACAAAACAAAAAAATATATGCTAAAAAATAGTACATGTTAATTTTTTTTTTTATATTAGCATACACTTTTGATATTGTAAATTATGTTTGTTTGTTTTATAATTATTTTATAACAAAATGTTTTTTCATTTTATCAAAAAAACAAAAAAGCATTATTACAAACTTTTAACGAAATCTTATATAGAGTTTATTTTTTTATAATGAAAAAAAACTCCTTTTTGGATATAACTTATTATTAATTTTTTTTTGCTTGAATTTTTACGCTTGAAGCAATATAGCTCCTGCAATGTCTTTGTTTATATTTATAAGTTTTATTTATTGTTTTATTTTGAAAAAAATAATAGTTTAGAAAAATAATATTTTATAAATAGTTACTGCTTTATATAAATAACAGATTGTGCGATATCAAAAAAGTAAAAACATAAATTTTCTTATACTTAAAAAAGAATTACTTAAATTAAATTTTTTTTTCCCTCTGTTTTTCTTCCTTCTTTTATATTTTTTACAAAAAATTAAATTCCTTGTAAACATGTTATAACACTACTTCAAAAATATTGATAAAGTGTATGTTTAACTTTTTTGTGTGGCAAGTGAAAATGCAACGGTATATATTTTTTAATAAATAATAATTGGAAATCTTTGTTTAAAAAAAAGGCGCTAGTAAAGTAATTATTTCGAGTTTTTTTCTTTGCAACAAGTAATATTTTTTGTTTGTTAATAACTATAATATTTTTATAACTAAACTAAGGTTATATATTGAGTAATATTTTTTGAGTAAGAATGTAAAAGTTTATTTTTTTATAATTTTGAGTAATATTTTTTGTTTGTTAATAACTTTTTAAAGGTAAAAAATCATTCTTTGTGAAGCCGCAAAGAATGAGTAATTTTTAAGAAATAATGGGAAAAGATATATATTTTAATTCATTTTTACAAATTTTGACAAAAGAAAGAAATTAATTTATGTTAAATGATAATAAAAATAGTAAATTTAATTATTTAATATTTAAAAAAAAATATATAAATGATTACTATGGTAAATGATAAAAGAATGGTGAATATAAAAAAGTATAAATTTATTTGAAACAATAATATTTTTTGATTCCCCTTCCTTAAGAATGAATTTTAATAAATCAAAGTCTAAAAACTATTGTTTTATTTGCTTTTTTTAACTAAAAAGGTCTTTTAGGAAGCGCAGAGAGCCGAATAGGTCATCAATCATTCTTGATAGAATTTGTATAATTAATAGTCCAGCAGCTAAAAATACTTGTTCTGATTCAACACTATAGAATACTCTGATTCAATTTGGTCAAAAACCTTAAAAAACCTTAGCTGCAGAGAGAAAATTTTATAAAAAATATTTCAAGAGCATCAATAATGTCCAAATGTCCAACTCTTCTGTTTTAAAAATGTCCAGCTCTTCTGTTTTAAAAATATCCAACTCTTCTGTTTTAAAAAGATCTAAAAGTTTTTTTATTTTAAATGTTACAGTTTTAAAAATTTGAATTATTTTAGGAACAAACAAGGCCGCCAGGAGATGAAAATTTTAGAACGTCTCAATTCAGCTGATCCAGAAGACAAATACCATTGCTTACAGATGTTCAGACATTTTTATCACAAGCAACATTTGTGTTTAGTTTTAGAGAGTCTAAGGTTATTTCATGTTTGTTTGTTTGTTTGATATTTCATGTTTGTTTGTTTGTTTGATATTTCAATGAATTTGTTTCTTTGTAATTTTTTTTATTTAAATATATCAAAGGATTTTTTTTATAACTTGTTTTATTATTTAATACATTCAACAAAACCATGAGAAATTTTTAAATTTTGTTATTTTTTATAAATAAACATATTTTTTTATAAATGTAATAACTATTGTGAAAAAGCTTCTTAGATATTGTTATGAACACAACCATTAATTCTTGTTACCTTTTAAAATTGCAGCATGAATCTCAGAGAAGTACTGAAGAAATATGGTAATAATGTCGGTCTACACATTAAAGCTGTACGCTCATATGCTCAACAACTTTTACTTGCATTGCGATTGCAAAGAAAATGTGGGATCATACATGCTGATATTAAACCTGATAATATATTGGTAGTTTTTTATATGATGATTTTATATTTAAAAAATTTGTTTAAACATTTGTTTTTATGAAATTTTAAGTTATTCTCATTTTATTAACTTAAATTTATTTATTTTTCTTATTTTATCTATAAATTAGCTATTATTATTATTATTAAATTTTTTTATTACTTATTTAATTTGTACTTTTTTTTAAATTTATCTATTTTATTTATATAATAATAACTGTTATTATTTATGACAATTAACTCCTGGTTTGTGTCAAGTATGTATCCTACTAAGACTTGAATTTTATAAGTGTCTCTAATTACACAATACTTTGACTTAAATAATTATATTTGCTAATTATTTGAGAAATCTTTATGGATTTTTTGTTAAACGACAACGAAATCTTACATTTTGTCATTGTATTTAAAACTATTTGTGAGTATACCTGTTATAATTTTTTTATTCATGCTTATATGTGTGTATATGTATATATCAACCCTTGGAAATAGGGTCGGCATTCGGCAATGCTGACCTAACTGCTGACCTGAAAGCGCTAGATAAAAACAAAAAATTGCCGACCTCGTTTCTATGTTTTATGGTCAGACCTTTGTATCAAATAATTTTTGCCAACCTCAAAAAGATTGATGTCGGCAAATTAATTGCTGACCTCATTTTTCCTAATTCCAAGGGTTGATAAATATATACGTATATATATACTGATATATATATATATATACTGATATATATATATATATATATATATATATATATATATATATATATATATATATATATATATATATACTGATATATATATTTATATACTGATATATATATATATATATATATACATTCAATGTGTGTGTGTATATATATATATATATATATATATATATATATATATATATATATATATATA